GAAATAAATTATACTCGAAAGAAGGTAAGGCAAAAACGAAGGTTTTTATTCCGCTAAAGAAAGAGAACACTTATTTCAGCAGGAGAAAGAGGACGTATTCTCTGTTTAACACCATCCATACAATAATTCTGTTTGGCTGGTGGTCGCGAAAAATACACTTTTCTATGTGATGGGAGGATTTAGTTGGGTTTTCGTGGCAGTGCTGACCGACTAACCAAATGGATCCCAGAACATGGATTAGCATTCTCTTCCGTAGTGAAATGTATTGTTAAATCATAAATCAACAAAATAATTAACCTATTTTATTAAAAACTATGATAGGAACGTCATAAAATTACACTCTATGCAAAATATAGTTGAAAAGGCCAAGTAAAATAACCTTTAAATGATTAATTTTACGTCGACTAAATTATTTAGAACAAAATAATACTCTGTGTAAAATAAAGTTGAGAAGGCCAAATAAAATAATCTCTAAATGATTAACTTACATTGACTAAATTATTTAAAATAAAATAATACTCTATGCAAAATAAAGTTGAGAAGGCCAAATAAAAAAACATTAAATGACTAACTTACGTAGAGGTATAAATTAGGCATGAAATTGACGAGCTATAACTGTAGAAAACTTAAGAAAATAATATGAAGTCTTGATGTATACATTAAATGCAGTTATGTGGTTCCTCCTCTCCTTCTTCTTCTTCTTTCTTTTTTTTTTTTTTTTTTCTTTTTTTCTTTTCTTTCTTTCTTTCTTTTTTTTTTTTCCCACGCTGCTTCTTTTCGCAACAAAAGGTTTTTAATTATATATCAAATTATAAACTTGAGTCTTTTATACCAAATTTGGACATTTAAAAATTAAATATGATTCTTAACAACTCAACATTTAACGAACAATAAAAATATTAAACCATGCTTTTAATATTGTACGTTACATTCTCCTGTGAAATGATATGACACGACATTTTAATTTTACGTGATAAACGTAATATGGTCATGCGACGTACTGTACTCTTTATTAAAACTTAAGTAAATATAGGTCAAGTATGAATGCACTTAACCGTTTCCAAATTTGGCCTGAAGCAGGGAGAAAATGAAACTTACCAAGGTAAGGAAAACAGTCTCAGAAACATTTTGACAGAGCGGTGGAAATCGACAGCTTATCCAAGTCCCGCAAATATTGACCGATGGACGAAATAAAAATATACGGTAGCCTCATCCCTAAATAAGCCTCTTGACCAATGCCCATGGGCTTCTTGTCTCGTCAGCAAACCAGCGGGGCAGTTTATTCTGGACTTTAGCAAATACAACGTCAGGATGGACTTCCTGCGCAATGCATTGAGCGCTCAATTTCTTAAAGTTCAACTGCTTCTAAATCGTAACAAGGACGCTTTTAAAAGATGACCAATCAGACTGTTCTTCCCAAAAGACGGTGACTGTCAAAAAACATTAGGCCGAGAAAATCTTTAAGCAAGAACTTTTCTGAAGAAATATGGATGAAATAAATGCAACTAGGGCTTTATTTTATGGCTTTACTTGATTTGCCATTTACATTGAGAAATAAACAAATAAATAAATTTTTAGAGTGATAAGGAAACTTGAGTTTGTTTTCGCTGTAAAACAAAATTATTAAATAAATAATTTGTTTAGAAAAATTAGAAAAAAATTATTTTTAGAATCTTAGTTCAACAAAGTTCTTTCTAGTCTAGTTAACGACCCTAATTTCAATTCCTATTTGCCTTCCGGCTTTAAAGAAACTATGTTTTAGTTCTGGTTTCATCAACAGATGGCGCCAGTGGCTTATCTCCTGTCCAGGCTTTCTCATCTTGTCTTATCTCGTTCATTTGCGCTTTTGCAGCTGAGGATCATGGTTCGGTAAAACCATCGAAACTAGACCTGTGAAATTTGAAAATATAACGCTGATTTTTGTTGTTTGACTTCTAACTTAATAAGGTGCTATTGAACAGTTTTTTTCTTTCAATTTCTTTATGTCTGTTTCAGTCTCTGCTAATAAAATTGGAAAAAAAAACTGTATGTTTGTTTTTCGCATTAGGGAAAAAAAGTGGCACAAGAGCCACTAAATTTTGCCGACACGTAGTCTTGTATCCGAACATGTGCACATAAAAGCCGTAAATTTTAGCCCAAAAGCGACGTTAGTTCCGAATGGAATATTAGTCTCGAAACGGCATTTTGCGTAAAAACATTTAAATGCATTGCACCACTTTTCAAATTGTTGCCACCAAATATTATTTCCCTGTCTTATATCTAAAGAAATTAAACAATGAAGAATGTACTTGTGAAAATACTTTATGAATGTATGTATGTTCGCATGAAAAAAAAAAAAAGATACATAAAGCCATCAAATTTTGAACAACTTAGACTTTCCCCAAAAAACGGGAATTCTCTGGAAGCCCGAATTTTGAATTTCGAATTTTACATTTTATATTTTATAAAACTTTAACGAATTTTTGATTAACAAACACAACCATTTCAAAACGAATAGTTGCAACACTACTGAAAAAAACATTTTTTATCTTCAGTGCGCTACACTGTCTGTGGGAAATTCTAAACATATGCTGTTTATAAATATTTTGAGATTTTGCTGTCGAATCGAATTTTATGTTGTGTGAATGAGATATTAAATAAAGCAAACGCAGAAAAGTTCCAATCCATCTTTAAGACCATCCATCTTTAATCTTAATAAAAAGACAAAAAAAATTTTGTAAAGCCATCTTAGTAAGAAACTGAACATTGAAATGATATACTGAGAAAAGACTGACAAAAAAAAAAAAAAAAAAAAAAAAAAAAAAAAATCAATGGCAACAACTGCGTCGGGAATACTAAACATACAGTGCTACGCTGCTTTTAAAGTTTCTGTAGTTTTGCTGTAGAATTGTATATGGTGTAACTTTGAAGGTACTGATGCCTAATAATAAAGCTAAATGGAGAAAACAATGGGTTAGCAAAAGTAAGTGTAACAGCATACTGGAAGAGTGCGAACTCAGCGTAAAAAGCCTTAACAAATCCTTTTCGGAGACCGTTAAAATCTGAAACCTTTCAGATTTAAAAAAAGAAAATCCTATTTGTCCGAATTTAACGAATTTTCAATTTAAAGAGATTCACGATATCATTACATATGCTATTTTCAAACGCAATTGTAATAGATGCACGCATCTTTTGAGACGTCGAATATAAGACAGTAGAATTTGAAAACAGCATTGAATAAAAACCTGAGGTACTCCAAAAAATTAATTTTTAAACATGTTTATAGTGTAGATTTTTAGTGGTAAAATGCTCTATATTTATCTATCTTTCATTGTAATAGCCGATGGTATTTATTATTCACTACTCGCTTGCACGATCAGCCTTCTTTCAAATGTTACTACAGTTACAGTTTTGAGATGTACTTATGATCAAAGATCGGCACTCTCAGAAAATTATAGATGTCCGTTATCCAGTGGTGCACGTTAAAGCGTGACTTAGAATATATATTAGATTTATACATAGCATTGCTCTAACATAGGTATTTTGACACAAAATCGGACTTTTTCTGAAATAACATACCAATTGTTTTCCATACTTCGATTCTACGATCCAAATTATGCCTAAATATTAAATTTTGTAAAATTTGGTGAGAAATTTACGAAGAAATTTAAAAATTGAACTTGGAGCATTTTTTTTCAGTTTGCTCCAAGAATAATTCATTTGGCGAACTTCTTAATGTACGGCAACCCATTTTCCTTTCCCTTCCACTGTACATGAGCGGAAAAAATGTCATATCGTTCCTACGTTTTTACATTGTGGATGAGCGGAAAAAAAGTCACATCGTTCTTACTTTCAAATAATTTCAACAAAGTTCCTAAACCACATTTGATGTTATTATTGTTTTAAACAAATATGCCAAATTTTCAAACGCATGAATATATAAATTCACGTATATCTTCGGAAACTTTGAATAGAAAACGCTTAATTTTTTGCAGGTATGCTTAGAAATATCTACTTTAAGATACATCTACTTTAAGATGAATACATTTACTTTAAGATGATGGTAAAATTTTTATGCGTTATAATTCAAAATAGTTTTCGAAAAATTTGTAAAAAATATTTAAAAATGCAAATTAAAAAAATAAATCCTAAAAAAATGGGCGAATGTTATTTGAAATGAACCTAAATTTTGATATGTGAAAGGAAGAATCAAATAAATTTAATAAAAAAAGAAATATTTATAAATATATATCAAACTCAATTAACATTCAGGAGCTAAAATTTTGAGGGCTAATGTTTTAAGAACTACTCGTGCGATTTTTACAAAACTTGGTAGTTTTTCGTAATTTGAGTCGTAGAATGGAAGTATGGAAAAAAAGTGGCATGTCATTCCAGAAAAAAATCCGATTTTTTTTAAATAGCTATATTAGAACACTGCTACATATATATCTCTACATATCCTAAGTCGCGCATTCGAGACATGAAAAACGTACGTTGAATTTCGTCAATCGGCTCAGTAGAACAGGAGATATAGAACCGTCCCATTTTCTTTTTTTTTCCCGCAGTGTACATTTTACATTGCAATCATACTAATTTATGATCGTTTTCATTTATTAAACAGATTTTAAAAAAATAATGACACTTTTTTTCAGTTTGGAAATAAAACTGAATAACTATCACTATCAGTGTTTTCATTTTTTATCTTATTATATTCATAGACTTTAGTAAGTTACAGTTACGAAGTCGCTATTACTTTGCAAGTGAAATTATAACTTTCAATATGAAGTCTATCAAAACTGCTAAAAATATTCTGAGTGCAGGAACGCACATATATATTCATAACATAAACAGTCCTTTCATACAATAGTTCTCATATTTCTATTCCTGAAAGATTAGATACAAAATTTCAAAGCATAGACCACAAGTTGTTTGCTTTGAAGCGGAAACGTTGTTGCGATGCAGTGAAGACCAAATATGAAATATCATAAAAGGGGAACCGATATTAAAATTTTAATTCCTACCTGGTGAAGAGGCATTCTGGGAATTCTCGTCATCTTTTGAAGGAGTCGTATCTTCATCATCTGGTGGGTTAGCCACTGTAAAGAGAGTTGGAATAAATTTGTTAGCGTACAACCACAGCTATATTATACACAGTTATACTATTTTGCTCTCGTTATTGGAAGAAAGATGTTAGTATTACTTTCGGAAAATAGTTTTATAAACTTCGGACCAGAATATTGAGGGATTTCATAAGTTTTCAGAACTATATTGCAGAAGATTTAGTTTATTTATAAGCATATTCAGATGTTAGAGCTACAGGATTTTCATTAAATGTTTATCTTGCACAAATATGTTTAGGCTAAAAATTTTTCAAAATAAATTAAAAACTTTTATGAAAGCTTTTCAATACCGATAAAGCGAGGGTGTTAAAAAGACAAAATTTTTTACATCAAAGAAGTTGAAACTATTTCTAAAAACCTGTTTATATGTGTATGTATGTTTGCATGTTCCGGAATCTTGTTCATTCCTGGAAAATGGCGGCATCAAGAGCTATCAAATTTTGAACTCACATAATCTTTCACCCAAATATGTGTACCTAGAAGGTTGAATTTTTGAGTTTCGAATTTGTTAATCTAAAGGGGCTTTGTCTTTGAAGGACTATGGTTTTCGTTTTGCGATTTTGCGTTGGTTCACAATAAATGTCCGTTGTTTCAAACTGTTGCCACCAAATGTTAGAGTACTGCATTATATTTAAAGAAATTGAATAATGAAAAATCTGCATAAATGTATGTATATTTCTCGTATAGTGGTAAAACAACGGTACCTAGAGTCATCGAATTTCGAATGACGTAATCTTCCTACGAATATGGGCATGTGGAAGACCAAATTTGAAATTTGGAATTTGTTTTATTATCGATTTCATATTTTGTAAAACTTTAACGAATTTTTAAGTAACAAACTCAACAATTTGAGAGCGAGCAATGGCAACAAACTACCGAGGAGTGGGAGAGGAACTTTTTTATCTCCAGCGATATTGATCTTTATTTATTTTTTATGGTTTAACTGCAAAGAACATGATATTTAATAAATAAAGGTAACAGACAAAATGTTAAAAAAACGCCCCTTTGGACGTAATTTAAAATCTGAAACCTTTCAGATTTTTCTTTCTTTTTTATTTATCTTATATTTTGTGCGAACGACATTTTGATTAACGAACTCGATGAAAAGCGATACGTTGCCACTCGGTAAAAAGTAACATATTTATGTTTCAAATTTAATCAGAAAATTCTTAGATTTAACAGAAATGTGGTGCCGCCACTCAAAATAAAATATTTTTATCTCCATGCACAAGTGTGCTGCCATTCAGAAAAGCGTAAGACATTTGATTTTTCTTTCAAATTTAATCTGTCCGTTATTTATTAACAAACTAAGCGAAACACTGCGTTTACGCAGTGACGCAAACACTACGTTTACAACAACATTACGTTTGCAAACACTACGTTTACGCAGTGTTTCATCTGTATTATTATTAATTTCTAGCTGGACTCGGTAACTATACACCAGCTGAACTCTTTAAAAGCATTACACATTTTTTTCTTTTTTATAATGTCTTTAGTTATATTTTCCCTAGAACAGAATCTACAATTAAAACAACACTCATTACGTTTTAATAAATTAAATACGGATGTTGCATAATTTCACTTGAAAAATTCGTCGAAATATTAGCGCCGCATTTTTTCTTTTCTAAGACTCGTCTTTTTGCCCACAGAAAGCGTTGCTGAACAGGCTGCATTTTAGAATCGCGAATCTTCTGGAATTGCTATTAATTCAGAATTTTGAACTACTCATTTGAAAAGATATAATATGTCCAAAGTAGTCATTTAAGTATATATATATTATTGTTGTTAATAAACTAAAGTTGTTTACTAAAAGATTTTGCTAGATCTCTGTTCACATTTTATTTCATTTATCTATATATGTTATTTACTTTTATGTATATTATATGCTATCTATTTTAAGACTCATTCTTAATTTAAAATACCTTGCAAAGAAACAAGACTGTTTCTAACAAGAAAGGTCTTCGAGCATTGATTACTCAATTTTTGTGAGAAAAATATATACCAATGTAGTGCTTTAGAAAGAAATAATAGTAAACGAATAGCTGCTAATATTATATAGATAAGCTGTTAAGTAATCGAAAAAAAAAAAAAAAAAAAAAAAAAAAAAAAAAAAAAAAAAAAAACGTATTTTGGTGATATAGCGCAAGTTGTCACTTTCAAAGTTTTCAAAAATTCCATTTTGAAAATTTGGAAAGTTGCTAAGCTGATCAACTCTTTCAAAAGAATATAAAATAGTAAATGAAGAGATGACAACCGAAACATACATATTTTGGCTTTAAATACTCAGTAGCTTAAAATGGAAAGTTTAACTTAAGTGACGAAAATTTAATCCTTCAAAAATTAAGTCAGAATCTGTTTTACATAGGTTACAATGGTAAAACTGCTAACCAAAACTAATACGAAGCGGATTAAAAGAAGTCACGGCGAAGGGTGTAGCTGCAGGGTTGCTTCGTGAGTTGTTCAAGGAATAACGTGAATACAAATTATTTACTTTAAAAGTTTTCCGTTTCTTTTAATTTTTTTCTAGCGCTCATTTTATCATCAATAAAAATGCTGCAAATTTTTACATGCTTAGTTTGGACCCAATGCAAATTACATTTTTTCGCCGCATACTACGCAAAAATTATACCTCTTTATTCTTGTAATCCCGTAATATGTGATTTTTCCCGTGGATTCATTATTTGACGAAAGAGCTTTAAATTCATTTTCAGATGTGGTATCTAATTCATTTTCAGAATCGATCAGTCGAGGTTTTTTTTCAAATTAATTCGTCAACTAATTTCCATTGGACATTTCTATTCTTTTAAATCTCAGAAATAAGATTTTCATTTAAATATCTGCTTAACTTTAAGCACAATTCAAAAAGATACATATTTATGTAAAGTAAATTGTAACTAAATCATTATTTAAATAATTTTGTACCATTCTTTTGCTTCCAATTTTATCAAGTGGTAAGCTCTTCTTTCACGTTTGGACAATTATCATTATGTGTATACACACGCATACATAATTTTACAGTACCACGCATACATAATTTTACAGTATTGTAAATTTATTCTTCTCTAAAATCATAATGGGCCACCAAAAGAGCCTTTTAATTTGCTCTCATACAGAGATATTATGTATTTAGAGGGCGTAGGATTCATTGTACAATGAAACAAAAGCACTTATTTTACTAATAATCAAAGGCCGCCGTGTGAATAATTATTCTTGGGTGTCATTCAAATTGGAAGCGTTAAGAACCAAATGATTTTTTTAATAATTTTAATTTTTTGTAAGAATGTAACAGAATGATGTGATCGAAAGTTACAGACTAGCATGTTTAAAGATAGGTGTTTCAGATTACATTGAAAAAATCCTGAATATTCGAGATAGTTTCGGAGTGCAGCTGTGTTTCGATTTGGAAATAACATACGTGAATTTAATGTGATCTTGGAGTATGTGTTGTTATTGTTACTTATGCTCGCTTGTCTGACAGTAACATCAGCCTAAGCCAACGAAATTCCTTGTGGCAGGGAGCGCTAGATATGCCTGTCGTTGCCTTGAGCACCTTACAGGTGACAGTGCGATTTAGCTGAAGGGATGGGCCCGAGGTCTCCACCCTTCTTTCCCTACCACAACCTCTCGAGAGAACTTTCGGCTACCAGCATATTTAGAATGCCGCCATGCCGCACCGACATTATCCATTTACAAACATCCATGCCTTTTCCGTGATTCGGCAATCAGCGTTGCTAATCACTATACCGGTTGGGCGGTTTGGAATATGTTCTTCATGGAAACTTTTTAAAATAATTAAATGCTTAAAACATGGACGTTCTGATTGTTTCAAATGCAAAAAGAAAAAAATCTTTAAAAGATACCTAGACCCCATTATATGCATTTATCCCTCCAAATAATGATATAATTTAGAAATCTAACTCTACATCTCATTAAATTTCAGACTTGACTGCAAGTTAAAATAAAGTTACTTGCAAATTTTGAAAGCATAAAATCTACTATAATCATTTCCTTAATAAATATAGTACTAAAATTATAATAAATATAGTACTTTTCTAAATATATTTTCACATTTTATTTCATTTTGTTTATGCATATTATATACTATCTCTTCTATGGCTAGCTCTTAAATTTCAAACAAACTCAAAATTTTAATTACAAAGAAGCAAAACTGTTTCTAACAAGGAAGGTCTTTCAAACATGAATACTCAATTTTTCTGAGAAAACTATATCGAAAGTACAGTTAGCTCGTTATAAGTAACTCGTTATCTTATAACAAGCTATTAATTGTCAGAACAAAAAAAAATTGTTTTATAGTTTCGCCCAAATTCTGGTCGAAATCTTTCAGCAACGGACTTTGAAAAGTGGTCAAGTCTGTAAATTTTTTCTCGCATACCTTTGCGAATTTCGTACGTAAAAATATCAATTTTTTTGCATTTAACTTATTAAAACGATACTGATAATTTTAATATTCTCATAATGTTAAAGAACTGACTGGCAAATCAGCGCTTTTAACATATTGTGCGAAGTTGTCATAAAAATTATGACAGTACGTATAAAATTTAAGTCAGTTCTTATTTAAGTTTGCATAAAAGTTATGACAGGAATTAAAATATTTAGGACCGATATCAAAGTAACTGTAGTTTGACTATCACTTTGATCATCATATATTACAAAGAGAAACAGGGGCTTGATCTATAAATCTCTAATCCACGTACGGGAATTGAAGTAGTTAGGAGTAAAAACCGTACCCTGGGATATAAGTCATTAGCCCTAGTAATTACCGTAGCAGGCTTTGCCTTAGCCAGCTAATCAGTCATAGTTGCAAATGTTAAAATCAGGAAAAATCCCATGAAATCAGCTTGTCCTTCAAAAAATAAGTCCCAGTCCTAACTGCTAGCTTTCAATTGTTTTATTCATTTGGCTATGCAGGGATTTAAATTTTCAAAAAATTACGTCTCTTTAAATATAATTTTAATTTTTTTAATATGTAATTTTTTTTGTAAGTTAAATTAAATTTCTCCTATTTTTACAGCTGGCAGGAACAGTTTCTTAATATAGCCGTATGATTCCCAGTTATATGTGTTGATCTGGTAACCACTTCAAGACGTTTTCCACTCGCGAACAAAGGAATGGTGCCATTTTGCGATATTAAAAACTCAGAAACTCATTTTGAGCAAAAGTTTTGTCGCCGTCAGAAATGCAGCATCATCGTCGTTTAGATATATTTAACTCTTCAGATGTCTTGCACAGGAATTAATAAAGGTGAGATTCCTTAGATGCTCGAGGTCTGAAGTATTTAATCAAAAATATTTGACATTTAGGGGTCGTCTCTCTGATTAACAGAAGACATTATTTACAGATATAATAATTATAAAATATTTACATCATTTAGATAAGCAAAATGCGCTTTAATTTGTGATCTTTTGTTTTAGAAATTGCATGTATCTTATTTTTTTTTTTCGCTTATTGTTTCCGTTGCGATACATTAACGCTGTGTTACAAGGACGGTTTGGCAAATTGCCAGTACTTAGAACTGTTTTCATCCGACATTCAAAATGATATATTTTGGGAGTAACTGAGCTATTTAAAAGCAATGTACATATTTATGTGTATTACAGATGGCATTTGCTTTATCAAGAGCAATCTTTATGCAGGTTCAGTTACAACTCGAAACTAGGCCGTACCTCTGCACTCCATATAGGCATGTTTCGTATCGCCGGGCCTTGCTAACTGTTAAGCTTCCGCGCCGGAGGAATTCCGAGGGAGAACACCCCGGAGGTGGATTCTCTTCCCCCACCACCTTCTCAAGAGGATTTCGGTTCGATATGTGTTTTGTGTGCTCCTTTGCCGCAGAGACACTCTAAACTTACAAGCATCTATGTCTTCTCTGGGATTTGAACAATCGGTATGGCAATTAGCTTCAATAACCAGTATCCCGTCTGGTCAACAATTCTTTCTTCATACAGGGACTTTATTAGGAAAGCATAAGAAATACACTGTAAGAATGCACTGTGTAAGAATAAGAAATGCATATATCCATCGAGTAAAACAGTATTTTCCAAACGGTGAAACTGACCAATGGCCGGAGTAACGTAACTTCAAATTGCTGATGAAATAATCCCTTTGTATTCATGGCAACTGAAGTGGCTGGCTGCATGAGATTTACACAGCCATTTCCAAATACGGGCCCATTTTCCACACAAAGCTCTCTACGAAAGATTTTAACGTCGTAATCAAAGAATTCTCGTACACGTAGACGTAACAAAATAACCCATTTCGCCCAAATGCTGTTATGAGGAGTCCTGAGTTCCGTCAATACTTCGTTAAAAAGTAATAATGATAACTGAAGATAGCTCGGAAATTATTCGAGGTTTTTATTTATATATTTAACACTTTTAATCAGGTGTTGCCGCTTTACTATGTTAATTTTCTTTTATTAGCAAAATAAGAATTTTTTTTAATTGACGAGAACTGAAAAATGTTTATTTATCTTCCATACTAAAAATAATTGTTGTTTATCGCTGTAACAAAGCGAAACATCTAAAAGAAATCTAATCTTCTTTACAGCATTTAACAACTATTATTAACTTTTGTAGCATTATCATAGCTAATTAAAACGACTCTAATGCCATATAACATGTACCACGATTAAAAAATTTCTAATTTAACTTCTTGGGCATATAATCAATCCTAATGCTAAAGATTAGATTCTGTGGTAATATACTAACCGTTTACGTATTTCTGTTAATTTAATTTAATTTAAATGATATGTACATATTAATAATAGTCTGATACCTTTCTGTTGGCTCACTCTTCATATGAAAATGCGAAATACGGGAGCAAACAGTTCAACATTTAAAGACAAAATACTTACTGAGTTGAAAAGCAGTTTATCTTATTTTATCTTATGGTAACAGCAGCGTTATTTTCATTTAAAGAAAAGACAAGATGTAATTGTATGATTTCGGATCTTAAGTGGGTTTAAGCAATATTTGAATCAGAGATAACGGAATCGTTAGAATTCCCGGTTTACATATCGATTCTATAATTATATACGTTTTATAAATATTTATATGTTTAAATATGTTTAGAGTTTTCTAATTTACATATCATACGCATACAGAGAAGATATATTTTCTTAAAAATTTGTTAATATTTTTGACCGCTTCACACATTTCACATAGCAAAAGCACAAGATTTATGTTGCCTTTTTCAGTCGATTATTATTCTTCAGTCGGCAAAACTATCATAGCACTATCTAAGATGAAGGATATCAATGAGGAGTAATCTAAAGCCTTGTTTCCACTACTACAGTCCGCATGCGTTGCGTCAGTAAGAGAAACATATTCGCAGACGGACAGGCGTTGACACCATTGCGCTGATCTACGTTAAATAAAGTTCAGAGATCATTTACATTTATTGCCACTAGGTGCCCATGTGTTTAACTTACAGGATTCAGATAACTTACAGATAACATAATGGGATATTCTCGAGATATCTGAATTAAATTTTTGATAACTTTTATTCTGATTACTAATTGTGAAAGTAACGGTAAAGCATGTTAAAAGTTTCAGATTTTTAAGTTTATAATACATATTATGAATTCCTGTGCCAGCTTAGAAGCTTGTTTATAAAATAATTAAAAAATTTTCTCCGCTCTTCTAGCTCCCTTAAATATTTATGAATACTATATTTAAATATAATTAAAGTATATTGTTAACGTAAAATAAGCAAAAAACAATTTAATCACTTCAATAGTTTAAAAATTTCTGGTACTTTAAAACTGCTGAGCGCAACAAAAGGTTCATAATGGATGCACAATATTGGAACTTGGAACTTGGTGGTACAATTGGTATTAGCTGATTAACTTTTAACCCTATTGCCTTAAGGCAGTGGCAGATAAAAGTTTTTAAATGTGTAGCTATGCTTCCGAGAAGACGAAAATTATTCGCGAAGCACGTGTCACCATCTAGTGATACAAAAGAAGGGGTATTCTTTCCGATTCCAATTTTGCCACTGTCGAGCTGCTGATATAGTAATCGGCACTTACTCTTCTCCTGCAAAATTCATGCGTATTGCCGCTCCTTTCAAAAATAAATTCAGAATATCCGCCAGGCCTTGGATTTCCATAGTTCTGCTAGTAGGAAGGTAATTCCCTTCATGATAATAGTAAAATTCATGTTTCATTCCTTTTTTTTTTCCTTTGAGAACATACAGACTCCCCTCACGGCTTACAACACGGCTTACAGAAGTAAGTTAACTAGAACATTAAAGGTCACATGTATAAATAAACATTAAAAATTACATGCATAAATAAAGCGAACAAAAGCAGAGAACAGCAGTCTGGACTTCACGAAAACAGATAAGTTCACTGGCCAAGTCACTCCGAACATTTTCAAATCGTTCTGTAAGAATAATCTAGGGCCATCAAATGTAGGGCACGAGAAAATCAAATGTTCCACATCCTGAGGAACTCTTTTTGAACATTCACATAAATTGTTTGATCGTAGATTAAAACGAAACAGATAACTTGCAAATTTACCGTGACCAGATAAAAACTGAGACACTTTAAAATTTAACGAGAGGAAAGACTCGGAATTCAGTCTATGGTAAATAGAAGGAAGGAACCTTTTGGTGACTTCAGCATTACAAGATGAAATGTATTCCTCATTCCACATAGCTAAAAGCTTTTTATAATGAAAGAACTTCCAATAACTCTTTGGAATGCTAATGTTGATATCAATGGGTAAATTTAAGGCATCTTTAGCTAAGAAATGAGCTCTTTCATTTCCGTAGAAACCATGATGAGCACGCACATAAGCAAAGCAGATATCAATACCTCTAATTCTAAGTGAACTAACAGTTACTAGGGTTTCGATAACTAATTAATCGCAGCTGGTAATACTGTTCAAAAGTTGAAGAGAAGAAAGAGAATCAGAACAAATAAGGTACTTTGAGGATGTTGTCCCATGATCCTGGATCCATTTGGCGGCAAGATAAATGCACAGAAGTTCTGCTTGAAAA